CCAGTGGGGTGGAAAATTTGTAGACATCAGTTGGAGTAAACAATGCCTCAGGTGGTGGTCCCATAGCACCTGCGGTCAGTAGGAAGTGGAATAGTGCCCTGTCAGTGTTATCAGTGGAAGGGATATTGCCCCATAATTCATATCAGAGGAAGGAATAAAGTCTCATTGTTGATGTCAGTGGGGGGGAATAGTGCCCCATCATTGATATTCCTGAATGAAATAGCGCTCCATCATTGGTGCCAATGGGAAGATTAATGACTCATATCAGTGGAAGGAAGAGTGCCCCAGAGGCTGGGTAGAGACTTGCAAAGGCTGCATTATGCCTATGGGCCAGAGTTTGGAGACCACTAACTTAAAGGATAGTTTTACAAAGTTATATTGCTCCTTTCAATACAAACCGGTGCTTTGCCAAGGCAGCCTAAAGCAACAGGTTGGCTTTAATGGCTGGTTCTCAAGAAGCACATACTTTGCTTTATTCGGTAATCAGGATCGAAGAAAATACTACTTAATGCTCTCATGTGAAAGCATTGTGGCTAGGTGATTAGCCCAACACTGTCACTATGAGGGTAGGAAGAAACCCCATAATTCTGAATAAGCTCCAACTACAGTGATTCAGTACTTTCATAGAATTTCCTTTTTTTGCTTCCATCAGCTGAACAGCAGTTCAATGCCCTGCCAGGGGATTGGGAAATTCATTACCTTTTATATTGTCTGGGATAAGATTTGTCAACAGAGAAAAAAAACTACTTGTGATGTAATTCTAAATATGAAAAACCCTCCTCACTGGAACATTGTAAAATGTATTATAATAATTAGGTTCGGTGCCTACCTCCTGCATATTTATAAACCATAAACGAATAAACAAAAATAATATCTTAAACCTATACACCAAATTATATGAAAAAAAAAACAAAGTAAAAAATAATAAATATATAATAAAAAGATAATAAAGATAAAAAAGTGTAGCTGCCTCTTTAAGAGTGCAAATGTCCTCCTCCAAATGAAAAATATAAAAAAATATGTCCCTCACACTGTACAATAAATAATGTCTCTGTAAATAAAGTCCTATAACATAAATGTACGTGTATAAAAGTCCCACACCAAACAGTAGCTGAATTCGCTCTTTACTGTGCAGAAGAACTTCTTTTATAGCAAAATTGGTGACGCACTATTAAGAAGATTTTTAGGCAGAGTAAAGAGTGAATTCACCTACTGTGTGGTGTAGGACTTTTATACAGGTATACTTATGTTATAGAATTTTATTTATAGAGACATTATGTATGGTACATTGTGAGGGCTATATGTACTTTATATTTATTCATTGTAAAATGTATGTTTTTGTTAGTTACCAGTCTCTAGCAACAAGATCTTGCAAAGTCAACAGCCTCATCATTTTTTGTGTGTAAGTTATCCCACTAAGTCTACTCCAGTTTTAGTGAGAGTGACCTTTCCCACAACGTTACATATTAGGAAGAACTCCGCTAACCACTTTGCCTCTTAAAGGGAATGACTATGTTTCTCCATGTCTTAAAGGGATGGCACCTTTTGCTGCACGCCAACATAAGGGCCCCAACTAAGCTGGCAGAAGAATCAATTTTCCAGATTGTTTCTGCTCAGGGACTATCTTCCTTAGGAGTACTGGTGTGCAGGAAGTTTGACACATTTTCTGGATCTTAAACCTAGATTCTCCTGACTGAGGGCCTACAAGTGAGCTAGCTTCATTCATTTGCTACTCATACTTGTCTCATTTGGGGAGTAATCTCCCAGTTGGAGGGCCAAGTTTTAGATTTTTAGTCCTGCAGGACAAGTGCTGAATCACCTCGTTTTATTGTGACCCTTTGTTAACTTTTAAACTGCCTACCTTCCTTTTTATTGATGTTAATACAATATAGTAATTTATTTTACAATAGTGTGTGAGTATTTTCCTTGTGGGGCAGCTGGGAGACTCCCTGGCCAAGGTATTTTGGTGGTGTCAACAGGGGTGTAGTTTTTATCATGGGCCTAGTGACGAACAGATGACCCAAGTATACCAGCAGCTCCTGTGGGGGTAGCGCTACACTTATAATTCATCCTCTTAGCATCCACCTAGCACTAAATTAAAAGTTTTGGGAAGGCTGTTTATTCTGGCCACACATTCTATTCCAAAAAAACAACCGACAGACATAAGGTGTAGACAGAGGTATAACTTTTCCTGCTGACACTAATAAAGTGATGCATGCACACAAGGTGTTTTATTCCATTTTCTAAAGAGAAAAATAAACTTTAAGAATGAAAGGCCAATCCATATTGGGATACACTAAATGTTTTCCTAGGCTACAATATACTATATGAGATTTAAATCCTAATTACAAGCTAAGCAGAGAGGAGTTATGCTCACACTTTAGTAATATGTACTCACCGGTGAATGATATTTTTGCTCTGCAAATAGTCAAGTGCCAAGGCCAGTTCACAGATGAAGAGCTTAACAGATGCCTCAGTGAAACGTATATTTTGCTGCAGATGGTATCTAAGGTCACCACCAAGGAGAAGGTCTACAACCATGAACATGTCCTCCTCATCTTGAAAGGAATACCTGGTGTAAACATAATATATAAGTATTAGAAAAAGGCAGACCACATCAAACTTTACATTGGTGCTTGAGTCTTTATTGAGATATATTGGAGAGTATTATATTGTAATCATTTTTTTCTATGTTTGAATGTTCTAATAAATGCAAAATATATAAATTTTCACTTGAAATGGAACTGGAGTTGAAAAAAAGTGCTGGTAAGCAAACTCTTTCCCTTTCTCTTAGCAATGCTGTTTTATTTACACTGCCTGCAGAGAATGGGCAGCGCAGAGTACACTTCCTGCATCTGTAAGTGGAGCTGAGTGCCAGGACAATGCAACTCCATCACACATGTACAGGAACTAAATGCCCACACTTAAGATGCCAGTGCTGGGGAGAGACAGCCAGTGAAACTGGCTGTGGTGAAGACAACGCTGGATCGAGGAACAGGTAAGTGTCTGTTTTTTTTAAAAGTGAGCAGCTACAGTTTTTGTAGCTGTTGACTTTTATTTTTTTTACATTTTGACTGGAGCTTCAGTTTAAGCAAAGAAAAAAAGAATGCCAAATTTGTCTACATGTGTTATTTGTCCAATGTGCTGTTACCCAGCAATTGTGTATCTGTGGACAGCTCTCAGCATAACCAAAGGTCTACATTACTGAAATGTGAAAATAATTCATGCAGAATGTAATATCTAGTAAAACAAAAATGATTTTACAAGAAGGAGCAATAATGCTGTTTTCTCTTCTATAATGACCTATATTAACTGTTAATCTCTATTACTCCAAGCAACAATAAATATTTTATATCTTTTCAATAGTTACCTCCATTATTATTCATAACATTCCACATTAGATGCAGCACTAAAAAGACATGCATGTCCTTTTCTTTATAAAGAGCTCCCTCCTCAATGTTCAAGTCCACTAACTTTACTTTAAGAACTTCTTTTGCGGAACTGAATTTGAATGTGCCTAGCAAGCTTTGTTATAAATGTTTAATGAATGCAGGGAAATAAAAAAAAACAACAATTATGATGGCATATATTAATGGCATAGAGTTGTTAATAAGTGTAACTAATTAAAAATGCACCATAATTCCTCTTACATGAAATGATACAAGAAAAACTCACTGATAAAGTAGAGAAGTGCCAGGCCATCTGATGGACATGGACATCCTGCTATCTTTACAGTGCAAACAGATCTGTACACTCTCTATATAATATTTTTTTCTTCTCTTCCCTCCCTCTCTCCCCACATATTGTTGTCATTGCCATTACCTGCTTTCACTACTTTCCGTTTTGGTCATCACACTATGAACTAACTTCTGTACAACCAGTCTCTGAAAAGTGCAAGTTCTATAAGTGCCAAAAGGTTTCCAAAGAATTCAGACACAGTGACAGAAAATTTTGCTGTTATCACACAGGCCACATTCTGCATTCCTGGAGGGAGCTAGAGTCAGATAAGGGAAGTGGTGACAAATTAGGACACTTCTCCGGGACAAGGGAACTGCTTTCAACCTGTTCGGTGTTCTGAGTTTCCTGTAGGCTGTCTGCAGGACACGTTATTCGGCCCTTTTGTCCCCCCCCTTGCACCTATGATCTGCCACTGCTAAGAGAAACCCCAATGAGGTACTAGAATAACGGACTTAGGACTGGAAGGGGTTTCGCAAGTCCAGTAATGGGAGCCACAATAACCCAGGTGCTAACTATATTTTATGGCTGTGCCTCTATGGCAGAAGCAGTAGGAAACCCAGGAATTGGTGCCAACATACAAGCTGTCTCACCTTATCTATGGTCTGGGCCTACTCTGGGTCCGGGCTTTGCCTGTCTTGGTGGGAAAGAAGGGTACTGATCTGGAAACTGCTAGATAGCACAAGGCAATAAGCAGCCAAATCTTTATAAAAATGTCAGATTAAAAAAGTTGAATGATTTAATAACCAGGTCCATCACCTAAGGGCACTAGTAAAAAGCAGAGTCTCACAGAGTTTGCAGAGTTATATGAGTAGGTACTGGGGAGGCCCTAGCAAGTTTTTGCCAGTGTCCAATCATCTGAAGGTAGCCTGTTAAGATTAACCACTAGCCTACAGGGCACTTATACCCCCTTCCTGCCCAGGCCAATTTCCAGCTTTCAGCACTGCTGCACTTTGAATGACAATTGCATGGCCATGCAACACTGTACCCATATGAAATTTTTATCATATTTTTGTGACAGATACAGCTTTATTTTGGTGGTATTTAATCACCTCTGGGATTTTTATTTTTTCTTAAAGAAAGAAAAAACCACAGAAAATTTTGAAAAAAAAAAAGTTTTTTCTTAGTTTTTGTTATAAAATTTTGTAAATACGTGATTTTTCTCCGTCACTGATGTGCGCTAATGAGGTTGCACTTATGGGCACTGATAGGCTACACAGATAGGTGGCACTGATGGGCACTGATGAGGAGGCACTGGTAGGTGGCACTGAAGGGCATTGACAGGCATCACTGACTGGCACTGAAAGGCAGTACTCATATATGGTACTGATAGGCGGCACTGATAGGTGGCACTGACTGGCACTGTTAGCTGGCACTGACTGGCACTGTTAGGCGCACTGATAGGCAGCACTGATGGCACTGATAAGCGGCACTGATACACACTGATAGGTGGCACTGAGTGCCACTGATAGGCGGCACTGAGTGGCACTGATAGGCGGTACTGAGTGGCAGCACTGATAGGTGGCACTGACTGGCATTGATGGGTGACACTGAAAGGCAGCTCAGATGGGCACTGATATGTGGCATTGATATGTGGCACTGAAATGTGGCACTGATGTGGCACTGGCAGGTGGCATGGATGAGCACTGAGAGCTGGCACTGATGGACACTGACAGGTGGCACTGCTGAGGCTACACAGATCATCAGGACACACTGATCATCAGTGCTCTGATGATCTGTGTACATGTCCCCTCCGAGGAATGCCGATTACCGGCTCTCCTCTCCTCACGAGCTGTCAGTGGGGAGAGAAATGCCGATAACCGCCATTTCCCCCCTGTTTACATGTGATCAGCTGTGATTGGACACAGCTGATCACATGACCGAGCTGACATCTTCAGCTCTTTCCGTGGATCGGTGATCCGCTGTGTCCCAGGGACACAGAGCACCGCTGATCGCCGCGCTGTGCGCTCCCGGAGCCGCATCATTTTACTATATGGTGGGTGGGAAGGAGGCAGTTAAGATATGGTATTTTTTCATAGTATTGCTTAGGCACAATTAACATTTCTAAATGTTCTCTATGACATAGCCGAAGTTAATTTTCTTAAAATAGCACTTTAAGTTTTAAGTGCTTCCAATGAGTTCCAATGAGAAGTGATTCAACAGCTGGCTTCCTATATCTGTCATAGGTTTATGGGCTTCAGTAACTCGAGGGCCAGATCTATTGTCAAAGTTTTACTCTCATATATCATTACATTGAAGTGTTCTTAAACCTAAGGTCCACCCAAAAGGGGAATTTCCGCTTCAAGGACTGGTCCCCCGCTCCCTGTTAAGAATTGGCACCTTTGGGGAGAGGGGAGGGGCGGAATACCTGAAATTGACAAGTACCAGCTCCCACTTCCGCTGCGATCTGATTCCCCCCTTTTATTCCCGTAGTCTTCTATGACACGTGACAGGTCCCAGAAGACTACAGAACCATTCAGAAAGCACAGCACTACTCATGCAAGCGCAGTGAGCACCCAGCTGTGAAGCTGCAAGCTGAAGATGCCGGCGCCAGGATGGCCAGTGAAACAGGCTGCGGGGGGAGACACTGTGGGATCATGGGACAGGTGAGTGGCTGTTTTTTAAAGGTCAGCAGATAGTGTTAGCATCAGTTAGCTCCCCTCCCAGATAGCATCAGATTGCCTGTCAGTACACCAGTAATCACTTTTAACCCCTTGATTAGCAGAAACACGCTCACATACACAATAATCCTCTATTTCTAGCATAGTGTCTGAATGGATCAATATTTTTGATGAGATCAGCACTATACCAGCGTTCACATTAGTATAGTGTCCTCAAAAACGCAGCATTAGCGGGATCAGCCCTGGCACCTGGCAGCACCTGTGTTTAGCCCCTACGCTTACCCCTTCTCCCCCAGCAAGTGCAGTGTCAGTAGATCAATGTCACTTGATACAGTACACACAAAACCGCAGTGTTCACAGACTCAGGCCTGATCTCTGCTAGCACTTGCCTGTAAATTTTTTTGTAGCGGTTCAAGCAGTCCTTGACAGCCAGGTGCTCTTTTTTCTGTGAGCCGCACTGGATACCTATAAATTTAGTGGCCGGAATGTCAATGGAAAGGTACTCTAGTGGAGAGGCCTACAGGATTCTGAGCATATCAGGAGAGAGCGAAAGGGAAGACTCCCCGACATAATCAGCCTCAGAATATGAACCTGTAGACAGCAGCAGCACCCTGACAAATAGCTCAGATGATGGAGAAGAGGTCCCTGCTAAGATCAGGCGTACCCGACCCCGTTCCCAGGTTGCTGAGATGTTACAATCACATGATGACTCTCATATGCAGCAGTGCCAGTACTAGTGCCGCTCTACCTTTTGGTGAACTGGCGAGCACCAATGGCCTAGTACATCCTAGCCTTTCACATATCAGCACTGCAGTATCACTTGGTGACATGGTGAGTCCCATACGTGCAGTACAAGCTGGTGCGGTGGCGAGCACAAGTAGTGTCCCCGTAGCCACCAAGAATTGGCACACAGTCCCGTAGAGCCCCTAGTATCCTTCTGGATGTGCTTGCAAATCCCAATTGGCAGTCCACAAATTCTGCAGCACCCATACTTCCCCTATTTAAGTTTTTTTTTTGGGTCTAACCTTCAATATGTGCATTACTTAAAAAATGAATTTTGATTGTATTGGTCCACAGACCCAATTCATCGTATGAGTAAATAAATATAGGTGGCGCCAGACAAAAATAATAGTATAGACCCTATTAATCACTAAACCAGCTGCAAAGTCTACCCTTTGTGAAGGTTCATGCAAATATGAAAAAAACAAGACTGCGCTAGTAACAAATATTAGAATATGAAACACAAAATATATATAACCGTGACAATGACAGAAAAAATATTAAATCTAAATCATAACAATCCAAAAAAAAATTTTTTTTCCCAAAAATCGATCATAAAAAGTTCCAAAATATAAATCAAGCATAAAAGTCCCAGAAAATATATAATAGTGAAGATAAAAAAGATGAAGATGAAAAAAATTCCTTTTAAATAAAATCCACCAAGTGAATCCACCACCAAATGAATTGAATAAACTCACCAGAGCAATATGCTGATTATATTATAAACAAGCATAAGCGCTTTTTTGCTCTGGGAGCAACGATCTGCAGACAGTAGAAACACAGCTTTGGCTTGGAATAAACGATTTCCTGGAACAATACTCTGCAGGAGACTCTGAAGATCCACTTCATTCATATCCCATCTTGTTTAAGAGGTATTGGAATGTCCACTCGGAATATAAGAAAAGAAGCTCATGGTGCAGTACTTCTTAAAAACGCTGCTTTAATAGTGACAAAAATACACTTCCAAAAAACGGTGTCCAACCGACACTAGCATATTCAGCACAAACAGATGCCAAGAAATAGACCCAGCCACAATACATATGCGCTCTTGCGATGCTAGGAGCGCACTGACGTCACACCACTCAAGCCCCACCCTACGCGTTTCGTCATTCGACGTATTCTGCTCCGTGAGGACGTCGAAAGACGAAACGCATAGGGTGGGGCTTGAGTGGTGTGACGTCAGTGCGCTCCTAGCATGGCAAGAGCGCATATGTATTGTGGCTGGGTCTGTTTCTTGGCATCTGTTTGTGCTGAATATGCTGGTGTCGGTTGGACACCGTTTTTTGGAAGTGTGTTTTTGTCACTATTAAAGCAGCGTTTTTAAGAAGTACTGCACCATGAGCTTCTTTTCTTATATTCCGAGTGGCCATTTCAATACCTCTTAAACAAGATGGGATATGAATGAAGTGGATCTTGATCTCCAGATATGAGATTATAATGCATGTTATGCATTTCAATGACACCACACTCTGTTGTCCTCAGGATGACCATTAATTTGACAGTTTCCACAAAATTCAACTCCTCGTAAATCACCTTAACCAAAAATTTGCAGATGTCTATACTCCCTAGCAAAACATCTGCATTGATGAGTCCCTCATTAATTTTTCTGGCCGCCTTGCATTCAAAAAATGTATGCCCAACAAGCGTGCCAGAGGTCAAGATGTATTACACCTGTGAGAGGGCAACAGGCTACACATACAATATATGTTTCGGATTTACAAGGAAAAAGATAGTCACGTGGAGCCCCCCGGATGCCCAGACTACATTGGGAGCAATGGCAAGATAGTTTGGGACTTGGTGTCATTCTTTTTCCATATGGGGTACCACTTATACGTGGACAGTTTTTATTCAAGCATGCCACTATTTAGACATTTGTACGATCTTGGAATTGGCGCATGTGGTACCTTGCGACCTAATTGCCGGGACTTCCCCCGTCGGCTTGTAAATACCAATCTTAGAAAGGGGAAAAAGCCTCCTTGAGAAATGAAGAATTGCTTGCAGTAACATGGAAGGACACACGGGATGTTTTCATCCTGTCTTCCATTCACGCAGACACGGCCATCCAAATTGCCACGGCAGCTGGTGTTGTTGAGAAGCCCCTCTATGTCCACTACTATAACCTTAACATGGGAGGGGTGGACTTCAACGACCAGATGATGAAGCCGTACTTAGTTTCCCAAAAAGCCAGATGCTGGTACAAAAAATTGTCTGTTTATTTCAATTGGCTCTATAATATGCTTTTGTGCTTTACAAAGCAACTGGACAAAGTGGATCCTTCCTAAAATTCCAGGAAGAGATCATCACGGCCCTTTTGTATCCAGAAGGTGCTATGGCCCAAATCCCCAACCCAGATGCAGCTAGCCAGCTGCCTGAGAGGCATTTTCCCGATGCCATTCCTGGTATCCCAACCCAAAGGACACCCCAAAAAAGATGTTATGTCTGTAGCAGACATGGAATTTTTTGTTTCTCCTGTCCTGGTCAACCTGGTCTCTGCCTCAAAGACTGTTTCCCGTCGCTACCACACACTAATGGAGTATTAGTATAGGGTACAGCACGGCACAGTTCAGGGCACATATTTACACAGGGTGTTGAAAGATGTTAGGTTGTCAGGAAACTGACCCTACAATCTGTTTAAAAAAGTTAAATTTTAAAATAAAAAAGTAAGAAAAAACGAAAAAAATAAAAAGTACAAATCCCCCAAAAATTAAACATTTTGAAAACCAAAACTAGTTATCGTTTTTTTTTTTTGTTGTTGTCATTACTGTTCTACTGTTACAATTTTCCTGTTTTATTGTTACTGTTTTATTGTTAACCATTGCTGTTTACCTTGCAGGAATGCCATTCAGCTGCAGCACCAACCTGTTTATTCTGACAGCAACAGGAACTTACTCTCAGAATATACATAAATCAGTGTGGGCAGCGCTGCCGGATTTTTCATCCGCAGTTATAAAAGAGCATATATGCTGAAGCATGAGGGACTGGGTGGATGGCCCCTATGCTTCGGCATATATATATTTTATAATATTTCTTGGCACATTTCATGTGTGCCCACCATTAGAAGTGGGTGGATACAGGGCGGTATATTCTAATGGTGGGCATACCACACACTTTTTCTGGCAGAGATTTCTTCTCTTTTTTTCATTCAGCCCACAGGTTCCTTAATAAAAAGAACATAGCATATACACCCAACAAGGACCAGCGACGTACTGGTACACCAGTGGACTTTGAGCGGTTATACCAGGATGATGCCTGCAGCTGCAGGCATCATCCTGGTATTGTT